TGATTGTACTTTCCTAAAATGAGATTTAAGTTCAATGGAGAATGCAGTGCTTACTGTGGTATCAGAAAGGTGGTTTAAATTCTTCCAGTCAGTGTCTTTTCAGATAGCTTTGGTCATCTTCAGATATGCAAAATCTCGTGGTTATTTACAGCACTGAGGGGAAAATAGCATTTGGATAGTGTTTATAAAGAATTATAGCATGTAAAGCAGAGACATTTTGAAGAATGGCGTTCTCAAAGTATGACTGTGTGGCATGTGGTGAATATTGCAGCAATAATCCAAACTGGAGGGGAAAAGCGAATGGAGAAGTAGGCTTAAAATAATGAAGACATCCAGTCCTAGCATAGAGATGCTTCTGAGGGACCATGTGTGTGCTGAGAGTTTGACTTGTGCATGCTGCAACCGTGTTCTACTGATGATTTATCAGTCTTTCCATGATAGCGAGAGTTACTATGCTGCTATTTGATCTCTAATGTGCTTAAGTTGTAAACTGTCTCCAAGTGCTGCCTGCATTCCTGAATCAAGTACTAAGTAAAATGCAGTCCTCTCTACTGAATGTAAGGTATGTATTTGGTGTAGCTTCTACATGCTGGTGGTGTCAGAAGCAATATTTGCTAAGAATAGTATTAAAATAAGGTCCTTCGGATATGGAGGATTCATCTGTGTGGTTTCCATCAGTATTTGCCTGAAAATGGGAACAAAAATGTGTTAGGGAATGCAAGGAGCAAAGTAAGAAGACCGCTAGCATTCAGTACAGCTTGGTAATGGCCTGGCAGTCAAGAAACGTTATTGATTATCATCAGATGCACTATGAAATGTGACAGCAAAAGTCCATACCTCTGCCATTTTGACAAAGCAAATTCTGCAACGCATGCAGTAGTAGGTATGCAAGCTGATTATAGCCTCAGGAGTAGAAAAACATATACAAAATGAGCATGTATGACTTTAACTGCAAAATATGGGGATGGAGAAGCTAGAATTTTGTGAGTATGAATCCACATAAGGCTAGTTCTGTAGAATCAATTAGAAAATGTGATTTCTGCCTTGAGAATATTTAAATGTTCTGCTGCTTAGTTTTATCCTAAACTGTGCTGGTATTTATCTAGAATCATAATGTGAATGAACTGCAGAAAGATATGAGAACTTGCAATGACGGTACAAAATTATTTGCTTGATGGTGTTATAATGTAGTATTGAACTGAGAATTTTACAATATAAAAAAATGAAACACAAGAAATAAACAAAAAGCATCTTTTACAATCTAAGACTTACTTCTTTTCCCCCCAAGATGCGTTTTCAAGCATGTAACAGAAGAGCTACCTTCAAGCTTGCTATAACTTAGAGAATTCTGCTAGCAAGATGAAAGTTGGGTTGCATTAGTATTTTCATGTGAACGTCC